GAAAGTCAAAACAGCACTGCACTAGCTACCAAGAAGGAGAAAAATGACTGCTACTGCTGAACCCAGGACAGCCGTCAAAGAAAAACAGTGAGGAGTGCTGTAGGTTGGTCATTGATAAATAAATTTCTCTACACAAAAATACTGAACCATTGAGCTCCTGAACATTTACTGATTATTAATGATCATGATGATTATAATATCAATATGCATTTTAAAAAATCAGAAATGGAAAAAGGTGACCTATTCTCAACAGTTCCAAACTGCCTTTCCTAATATCAGTGGATGAAGAACTGGCCTTGGTGGATAAAGAAACAGCTGGATGTTCACATGCAAAGGGTTATGGTCAGTAGCTCAATGTCCAGTTGGAAAACAGTAACAACTGGTGTGCCTCAGGGATCGGTGTTGGGACCAGTCTTGTTCAACATCTTTGTTGCTGACATGGACAGTGGGATTGAGTGCGCCCTCAGCAAGTTTGCCGATGACACCAAGCCGATGATAATGCCAACTTTATGAAGTTCAACCAAGCCAAGTGCAAGGTCCTAAACCTGGGTTGGGGCAATTCCAGGCACAGCTACAGGTTGGGTAGAGAAGAGATTCAGAGCAGCCGTCCGGAGAAGGACTTGGGGGTGTTAGTTGATGAGAAAATGAACATGAGCTTCAGTGTGCACTTGCAGCCCAGAAAGCCAACTGTATCCTGAGCTGCATCAAAAGGAGCGTGACCAGCAGGTCCAAGGAGGTGATCCTGCCTCTCAGCTCTGCTCTTGTGAGACCTCACTTGGAGTACTGTGTGCAGTTCTGGTGTCCTCAATGTAAAAAGGATATGGAGCTGTTGGCACAAGTCCAGAGGAGGGCCACGAGGGTGATCAGGGGACTGGAGCACCTCCTGTGTGAAGACAGGCTGAGAAAGTTGGGGCTGTTCAGCCTGGAGAAGAGAAGGCTGTGTGGAGACCTCATAGCAGCCTTCCAGTATCTGAAGGGGGCATATAGGGGTGCTGGGGAGGGACTCTTCATTAGGGACTGTAGTGATAGGACAAGGGGTAATGGGTTAAAACTTAAACAGGGGAAGTTTAGATTAGATATAAGGAGGAAATTCTTTCCTGTTAGGGTGGTGAGGCACTGGAACGGGTTGCCCAGAGAAGATGTGAGTGCTTCATCCCTGGCGGTGTTCAAGGCCAGTTTGGATAAAGCCTTGGGTGGCATGGTTTAGTGTGAGGTGTCCCTGCCCATGGCACAGGGGTTGGAACTAGGTGATCTTAATCTTAAGGTCCTTTCCAACCCTAACTATTCTATAATTCTGTGATTCTATGATTCTAAAAGGCAGCTTCTAGAGGATCCTGCTTCAATTAGCAGAGAGAGGGAAGCTCATGCAGAGCTTGAATCAGATCAGCACCTTAAAATCAGTGATTTAAAGTCCTGATAGACAAATCTAGCAGGAGTGTGATACAACTATTTATCTATATTTTTCCTTTTGCCTTCAACAGACTACAACTAGAGTTCAGAGTGCCAGTCCAGCATATAAGGGTATATCAAATTGTATAACAAATATTGTTATGCCAGCTCATTTGGCATTAAAGTGCTAGTACAGTTAGGGTGCCTCTCTGAAGCACACAGATGCATAACAGAGCTCAGTCTCAAAGTTGATGAGGTGAAATCTAGAGATGTGACGCATGACTCGCATTTATGTTCTGTTCTTGTTACACCAGCTAATAACATTACTTGCTGCCAGGCTGTCTCCTATAACACTAATTAAGACCTCCTTCAGAATGCAAGGGTCATGCAAAATGAATGAAAACAGCAAGCCAAATTCAGAGATTATGTACATTAGAGTAATTTACACTTCAATTAAACAGTGCAATTTGCATAATTAGAGGCTGTAATAAAGAGCTGGTAGCAGGGATAGTAACCTAGATTTTACTTTAGGATTGTTTACACTTTTCTGTTCTGACCCCATCCTGTCATATATAAAGTATAGTGAATTATTCAAGCGGCAACTTCTACTATCATCTTCCTTTACTATGTCAACAAGCACAGACTTTGGAGACAATGCTTTTCTATAGGTACCTGATAGGAACAGTTTTTGGTTGATTAGGTTTGGAAATGTGATAGAGGGGGACCCCAAAATCCTTCATTAATAACTGCGCTTAGAACGAAAGAACCAGAAATGTGGGGACATAAAACTATTGTAAATAAGGCTCCAGTGATAATAGCACAGAACTAGTTCTCATGATCTGGCACATGCCACCAACTGCCCTTCTGCCATTTCAAAGATAAAGAAACAGTTTCATTCTCACCATACAACGAATAAATAAAAGCAATCATAGAAAAGAAATTAAAATGGTAAAAGACACCACCAATAATATTTATCATTTATCTGTCTTTAGATCACTGCCATAGGATGTCTGCGTTCAGTAAAGGTAAGTGATGAGAACAAGATTATTTAGACAAAACACTCTCATCTGTTATCAAAACCTATTCTTTTTATTTTCAATTCTCTTCCTGAAGGCTTTTTTATTATAACTATTTTGAAATCTGTTTATTGCCCTAAGGGGAAACTCAAGTGTGTGATGGACATTTTAAAGTGAAAAGGGGTTTTTCTTGTCCCTTACAACAATATGTTATCTCTTTATTTCTTTCTATGAGGATTTTTTGGTGTGTCTTTTCCTCTCTCTCTGGCAGTGGCCTTTTTGTACAGTGTTCTTAAAAGGACAGACTTTCACTGTAAAAGTATTACATCTAAAATGAAAAGTCATGCAGCAGCTAAAAAAAACAAACACCACTCTCAGGAATAAAAGGGTAAAAGGGATTATTCACTTTATATGAATGAAGCTGGCTAGAATCTCTCTCCATCCTTAACATGCTTTTGTAGGGAAAGTAATTTTTAGAGAGTACCTATTGATAGGACTAGGAGGAAAATGTTACAAGGAGGTTACCAAAACACTAATGTTCAAATGGGAATAGTTCCACTTTGATTTCCTTTGGAACTTTCCCTTTCTTGTCACAGTATCCTCCCTATGGATTTCAGTTATGCTGCTTTTACAAGTCTGTGGCCTTTCCCTCTCCAGAAGACTTAAAACAGGTTTCATTTGATTGGATTATTTGGTTGGTTGGTTGGTTTGGGGTTTTCTGGGGGGGTTGGCATTGGTTTTTTTTTGGGGGGGGGGGAGGTTTTTTGTGTTTGGGTTTTCTGGGGGGGTTTTGATTTATTTTGTTTGTATCATGGATTGCAGAATCTATTGATCCTTTATTACAGCATCAGTCTACCATACCGTTTCCTAGATTCACATCCATAGATTTGGAATGCCATTTGCATTCCTTATACAACTTCGTGATTTCTTGTTTGGAAGACAAAGGAAGTTTAGTGAAAGCCACTATCAAATATTTCTTTTATTCCAATAGATATTGCTTGTGCTTTATTTTAAAATGTTGATCAACAGATCATTCAGTCAAATTAATTCACCTGAAAGGGACTTATTTCACTGCTAATATATCAACCAGAGAGCACTGCCAGCATTAATACTCAGGTAGGGTTTTTTGGGTTTGGGGTGGTTTGGGTTTTTTGGGGTTTGTTTTTTTTCAGGAAAAATATTTCACACTATATTAATAAATTTTTCAAAATTTAAAATATAAATACAGCATTATTTTCCATAATTTAAGACTGTATTTTAATTCATATTAAACTTGTTGTTATGTATATAATTATTTTCTCTGCTATTTGACTCTCATAGTGCACAATGCGATTAAATCATAGAATTGACTGAAAATGTTCAACATACACAACTCCTAGTGAAGCAGATGAGAGAAGAGACATTCAGCATCCAATAAGAACAGGAAAAGACTGAGCCAGCATTTAAAAAAATATAAATAAATCAATCAAATGTCAACACTTTTAGTTTTAATCCTTGCAATCGCGAACAATAAAATGCAGTTAATTCTCTACAAATGCCCATGCTTCACCTAACTTGTTGACAAAAATTTGAGAATTTTTAGCAAGAGAGATGTAATTAGCTGGAAAACTGTAGCTTGATGAAGAAAAGAGCCATCAACAGTCTGTTAATACATAATTCTTTTAATATGCAGATAATGCTGCGCTACTAACTTATGAGCTGCTACCCATTTACATGGGGAGAAAAATGCACTTATCGAGTACTGACTTGAGTGGACAGCCTACAGTTTTTGACTACATTAGAAAGTATTGTCGAAAGAAGAAATTGCAAATGAAATTACATTTCAGGTCAGATGCAATAATTCAAGAATAACTTTAGTCCTTTCCCAGCAAATACCTAAGTGGACAGAATTCAGAACTTCAATTACCAGTTCTAGCAAAAGTCTGTCTCTTATTTACTTTTCTCTCTCTTTTCTGCAGAAAACCACATTTCACACAGTGACAGATTAAAATTAGCAGGTTCTTTTCCTTCTGAGAAAAGTTTCATTTCGCTTGCAATGTGTATTTTAACTCTATGTATATTTTTGTACTTAAAGCTTTTGAAAAGGCTGCACAGTGTCACAAAGAAATGTTTTCAAATGAAAAGCCGGTGGCTAACTAGCGTACTGCACTGAAGAACTACTGCATTTTAGAAGTCAGTCCTCACTCAGTGGGGCACGTTCTTAGGCAGTGTAAATCCAAACAGCTCTCCCACACTGGTGCCACAATATTTTACACAGGCTGAAAATCTCATGCTGGCTTTGTCAAAGAATGCATAGAATGGGTTCATATTTTTAATGTAGTAAAGACTTAACTGCAGTAAACTTCAAAGCATCCTTGTAAATCTCCAAGCCAAATGCTGAGATATGTAAAACAAAATACAAAGCAGTGGATGACAGGAAAAATAGGTGACCTTTGTATTCTTCCTCCCTTCTCATAACTTACACAGGTGTGATTCATGCACAGTAAGCCAAGAAAGTTCACATTTTTCAGTACTAGTAATGCTGGACATCTGTAAAAATTCTTTTAATGGAAGTACAATTCAAGGGCCTGAAAATTCTTCCAGAAATGTGCTTACCTCTTCCAGAGCAAGGTAGATTAGAATTTCCTTGGCATTTTTTAGCACTCTCCTCAGGTGACAATGGACAAGAACGTGGATGTTCACACTTCTTCCCAGTCCATCCTTCTTTACAGTCACACCTTCCACAATTACACTGTCCATGACCTTTACAGTGAATACGGTTAAAGATTAGACTCCATACTAATAAGTATTAAAACCTCATGATCAGATGAACTTTGTCAAAGCCGCGATATCATTAAATAATCAGACTGGCAAAGAAACAACCAAATGAGTATACCTACTTTTCTCTGAAAATATCACTGGTCTACCATTCCATTTGATCCATTTTATTTTTTATTTTTTTGTACTTGTGTGTTAAGGGCTTCTTTGCCTTTTGCACACACTCCTTGTGAAAAGGTGGAAAAGTTAAAGATACACATTCACCATTGTCTGGAAAACTTAGGCCAGCATAAAGCAGTATTTCATTAACATTTATAATTTTTTTCTACTACAGTTGCAGTATACTCTGTAAGTAATAAATCAATATAATCTTTAACTTATTTGTAATCAATGTAATCCACTACAGACAAACAAAGTTGCACGAGTTCCAAGTCTGAAACCAATGCCTTCTACTAAATAGTGATGTGCAAATAATAAAATACTGAACATAATCAGTTCTGATTTCAGTAGGGCAGTGGTTTTGGTATCTCTTTAGCTAACTTGAATCCCCCTGACCATGTCTGAACATAGCAATATCAATGCAACTTTCATTCTGCAAGTTGAGGTAAGGAAAAGCAACTGAACTCCATGGAAGCTTTTCTGGAAAGTTTCTTTAAAAAAAAAAAAAAAGTAACAGCCAAGAGTTAGGTGTGAACCCCATCTGAGAACTTAACCTGGAAAGCCATTCAAACAAGCTATTTGCCCCATATGAATGCTAACATATCCAGATCAATAAAAGCAAGCCCATTTCCCTTCATCATGAGCCTTAAGGCTCTTTTGCTTCCATGTGTAGCTGCTTACAGGTAAACATACTTATGAGAGGATGATGTTCTTTCATATAATATTTTCTTTGCTAAAGCCACAGCAAAGAAGCTAATGAGATGTATGAATGCAGGAATTTTTTTAAGGAAGCCTGTCTTCTTCCTATGGCAAGTCATGAAAGATATTCTCCCTTTAAAGGAAGAGAATCACTTTAATGTTGCAAACACCTCTTAAAGAAAATAATGCAGTAACATACTGAACTGCACTTCAGGTATTAAAAGAAGGCATCCAATTACTAATATGAGGTACTGTAAATCGACAGTCACCCCAAGCCATATGAAGCTTCTGGAGGGAGCTGCTGTTGCTTGATGTTAAATCCTCACATCAGGGCTGTCAATTCCTGTCATTTGTAGTTCATGAAATAAACATAGTATTTTATTCAGTTACAGTAAGGTCTTTACATGTAAACATGTTTTCCTATCATTTCAATATGCTAATCAGGGCAATGTGTTTTCTATTTTTATGTATTAGCTAGACACAAGACAGAAAAAGTTTTATATCACCTCTATTTGATGTATTATTATCTATTGGTTTTGTGAACAGACACTTCACACTACATATGAATATGGATTTCTGCATGCTTTATTTCAGGAATGCATTCTTGGTTGGACATTTAAGCTTAAATTAGGCTTTTTTGAAATATAATGGAAATGGAAGTGATAAGAATAAGAAATTATTTTTTTTTTCTGATTAGGTAGAATAAGCTGTACTTCATGAGTTTTAGTTACTTAAAGCAAGCCATATGAGTGCCTTCTTTTGTATCTCTCATAAGGTTTGCCCATATACAGTTATGGCTGTGTAATAAAGAGTGCTGTACCAATCCTTAATCCAATGTGAAATGACAATATCTTTCCCCGATTACTTTGTAACTGTCCATACTTTCTTATACTTTGCTTTCTTACAACAGTTACCACCCTAGACAGCAGCACCAGCAATGGCAGTAATGTCTGGGTAAGAGAGAGTTCAAGATGCTACAGGTTTGCCTTAATCTAATTAGGTTTGAAACTCTTGAGTTCACCCTTAACTACAGAGCATATTTACTGCACTGTTTTTTAGCTTTGTATTCTGTAACTGATGCTGACATTTTGATCAGTCCCTGAGTGCTAAAAACATACTCAGCACCACAGTAACACATTACAAAACTGACAACATCCCAAAGTCAATCTTCCTGCTGCTCTCATGTCTGCAGTTCCACCTCCTTCCAGCTTATTAATTAAATAAACCTATCTAACATTTGTAGGTGGCTGAAACAGTAACAAAAAAAAAAGAATTTGCTGATGGTTTTTAGCAATGCTGTTTTTTTTTTTCCCCTCTCTCATTAGCTAGTGATTCATCAATATTTACTAAAAAAAAACAACAAAGAACAAAACAGGCAAACAAGAGGCTCAGAATTTTATGTATCATGTTTGTTTCAGCCTTCTTTCCCTATTATGGATAACTCTTACAATAGTTCTATGAGGAGTCTCTCATTCTAGTAACAGGAGGAGAATATACCACATCATTACTTTCCCTAATGTGACTGCAATCTTCCTATTATTAATTAGGCCAGATCAAATCTGTACTGGATGCATTAGAGCTGGCAACCTGTAATCTGTCAAGTCCCTTTGAAACCACCCTCGTTTGTTTTCAAAAGGTTCTTGCGTGTACAAATTGAATGCTGTGCATTGATCAAAGTCCTTCTCTCCTGCCCAATATTAGCAACTTTATCAGTAACTATACAAAATTGTATGCAAGATCTCACACAGAATCTCATCTTTTGTTAGATAATAGATGGATCATCAATTTAAATACACTGCAAACCTTGGATGGCTGGATGGACATTAGCTAATTTGAATATAATGCTATGAAGTACAAGTACAAGAAAAAAGGAAGGTGAATGTGTCCAAGATGTACAGCCAGTGATGTGCAGCTGGACCAGACATTCTTATTTTCCACATATTGATGTTCTATTTGTTCTCAGGACAATTGGCATTCTCAGGATACAGTTTTTCATTAACTCATCAATTCACTTTTCCTCAGATTTTTTCCCCTCATTTGTCCTCTCCCAGCCATATAACATGTAATAACAAATAAAATTTGATCTAACAACTTTTCAAATTTAAATTTTCCCAAGGAAGCAGATGCATGTATTTGACAGTTTCAACCATTCTCCAATTTATGTCAGGTTACACTGAAGAGTGTTAGAAGGGAGATGGGCACCTAAGAGTGATTAATATTTACACAATTTTGTTAAAAGGCATAGAAAAAAAAAGTGTTAAGAAAGCTTTAGAATTAATTATTTAATCTAAAAAATCCACTACACCTCTCCAAAAAAAAAACCCAAAATAAGCAAATGAAAAAAAAAAAAAAAGACAGCTAAAGCTTGGTATATTTTAAGCTAGGAAAATGAGAATTGGAAGACTAAGGAAGAGCAAGATCAGACCAATTGAGTGGTTCTGTCATAAAACTATAAATAAGTTCCTTCTATATTCCTTACCTGAACAGAAGTCATCAGAATATCTATCATACACTTCTTTGCAGTTTCTTTCATCACACTCACAAGTATCTCCATGAATATCTCCCCAGTCACCTGTTGGGTCCACATCGTGGCATGTACATTCCCCACATACACATGTGCCTAAGAAAAAAAAAAAAAAGGAAAAAGAGGGAAAAGAAAAAGAAAAAGGTTTGAAAAAAGTTAAAAAAAAAAAAAAAAAGAGAGAGCCAGAGCAGATTAACTGAGCAATTTAGAGTAATAGTAGCTTGATTACAGGAATTTACACTTGTGAATTTTCTGCTCTCACAGGAATGCAGTTTCAAAGCTGCAAGTGGTAATCATGAAAGTATGTTCATCTTCTATGACTTAAAACCTTCTATGATTATTTAGTAGTAATATTTTCTACAAACAAGTTGGCTTCCTGTTCAAGTTTCTTTTTGCTGTTGAGCCTTGCTAGGAATCAACAGAAAAATATAGACCACAGAACAATTGTCTTTGACATCAACCGTAATTTGCCTTGACACTAATGAGAATAAAAATCAATGTTGTTTAAATAACTTGGGCTTGGGCACAGGGGATAATTAATGATTGTTAAAGCATAAACATTTAAACTAGAAGAGAATGCACATTAACCCAGCTGAAAATGTCTAGGAGGTCATTCCCTACCTAAGAAGATCATCAGTAGAGACCTACATAAAAATGATACTTTTCCACTTTTCCAAAGTCAATATTCAGGGCTGTTGTTCACAATAAGAAGGGAAATGTGAAATATGACAAAGATACTAATTTGGCACAACCTTACTGATATACAGAGAACACACATCCTACTTATTGAGGAAAAGTCAGAATAAAAAGACAGTTTCCTTATTCAGAAATCCAAATATGCTTCAGGGCGATACACTCACTACTTTTTCTGAGGTGCCAACAGGCATAAAGAAGCACCCAAACCTTACAGATGCAGGCAATTAATCACCTTGAGAGTAGGTTCACCTCCTATTACTCCACCAAAGCCTTTGTCTTCCTCTTGAGATCACTCTGAACAGCATTATGCATTTGAGGATATCAGGACAGCATGACTAAAGAGTACATGTAGACATGGGCACATTCTCTGAAGACAGAATGTCTACACAACTGTGGATGCATGATGGTTACATCATGCAAAAGACTTGCTGCCCTGTTTAGTGCTAAAGCCACCAAGACAGCCCTCAAGAAATGTGCACCTGATTTTTGATACTTTTACAATTCAGTGCCATTACTAAAGGAGAAGAAAAAAACCCAACACAATAACAGCAAAAAAAAAAAAAAAAAATAAAAAGCCCAGAAAATGAGGAAATGCATCTGGAGTGATTTGTCTTGCCAGAAGCAACTTCAAAGTGAATTTGGATCAGCTGTCCCGGATATTGGAAGGAAAAACACTGTCTCACCAATGTTTAAAAAATCTATAGGTTCACATCTGGTTTCAGCTGGTTGACTACGTTGGTGGAAAGATATAGACAATTTATCCACTGAAGGAGGCTAGACAGCAAGGTTAGCCTTGCTATTTAATTTTTTAGAAGGCCCAAGACTGACAAGGTGAACTTCAGCTATACCACAAGATATATAAATACAGAGAACTGGGTTAATAGGACTATAGAGAGTAGAAATAGTGTTGGAAAGCAACTTTGTGCAGTCAAAAGTTTACAGAATTTTTATATGGATAAAAAAACAAATACATGAATGGCTAAAAATATGGAAGCATTCCACAAATGTGTCTTTGTATAGGAGAGCTATTCAGAATATCAGCTATACTATTAATCCTCATTTGCCCCACTTACAATGTAAATTTAAAGAAACACTTGCATACTAAAATTTGAAATTTAAACAAAAAAATTGCTTTGACAAGAAATTCTTAGTCAAGTAATTACTTTCTTTGTACAAACAAAACATCGGATCTGAAGCCATTTTATTTATTATTTCCAGAACTACAGAGATTTTTTTGCTGCTGATGTTCCAAGACCAAATGAGCCTACATAATCTGTTTAAGCCAGTCTTTCAATTTCCTCATAATTAAGACAAGAGAGTTTTCTAAATGCTCTCAGGATAATTAGATGTTACACTATCGCAGGTTTTGTCAGTAGAGCTGCTTTTAAAAAAGGTTTCCATGTGGCTTGTGCTTAACTACTACTCCAACTATTCTGGACTATCACGCAAAAAATAACATGGGGTTTTTAACTCTTTATTCAGTGAAACAAAACATAGCAGCTAGTAAAAAGCAACATTATTTTGTGCTTTTTTTTTTTTCTTTTCCAAAATGTCAAAATTAAGAAGATTTGCACAGAACTTTGTGCAAATAAAACCCCATGCAATTAGAAATATTGTGTGAAGTCTACCTTTTCAGTCCTGTGTGCACTCCATAGCACTGTTACTAAAGACTTTGTAGGTTTTTTTTTTCAGGTTGCAGTGGGAACTAAAAGCTTTGTGTTTTCACTTTCCTTATTCAGTTGTGGGTTCTTGGTCTTCTTTAAGAGTGAATTGACATACAGCCCTGTTGGCCTTATAGCACCAATCCATTCTAAGTCAAAAGCCTGCTAATACTTTATTTTGCAGGGTAGGTCTCTCACCAAAGCATATATTAAGAAATTATCCTGCTCAGTCTTATTATAAAAGTGAAAGATGAAAACAACTTGGGTCAGCTTAATCCAAAAATGGGTGTAGATTTGTATAAGTTTATACCTAAAAACAGGTATCTACGCACTCACTTGGAAATGTATATCTAGACTTGAAATAAGTGAGAGCAAATTAGAAACTATCAGCAAACACCATCTATGATGTCCTACTGCAGAAAATGCATAATGTAAAATAAAAACAAGCTATATAAATATGCATAGAAGGAACGTGCGAATGACACACCTCTGTTGCTGCAGATTTTGCCATCTGGAGATGTGCATCTTTTCTTGATCTCCCAGGGGGTGATGTCACACTGGAATTCACATTTATCTCCATGCCAACCAGCCTCACAGTAACAGTTTCCACAGTAACACTTTCCATGGCCTTAAGCCAAAACAAATTTTATACAGTGAGAAACAGGCAAGTTTTTAAAAGGCATTAACAATTTAACCGTTTTGATCTTTTGTTTTAAAAACTTTTAGCACTACACTCAGAATAGAAATAATTTATAGACTGTATATGTCTGCATAAAACAAGACAAAGGATATCTGAGTTGTGCTTTTCCCCAAATCTATTTTAGAATAAGTTTCCATTTAATTACAGATTCAATTTAATCCATAAAAACTAATAATAATAATCACTATTTTTATATTTGTAAGCTTAATTTTTGAAACTTTATAGGCAAATTTTAAAGATAGTAAATGTAATAGTTTAAGATTTAAGCACAGTTTTAAATGTTAAGATAGGACACACTTGCCCACCATACTTAGCATGTCTAAGAAAATATTGTGTGTTCTCTACTCCTCAGATAATTCCAGCAGAGGGACTTTGATTTATAAACTGTTTACATTGTATGTGGCTTCCCTTCTTACCTGTTAAGATCTTTGAGCATGGATAAACCAGTTCATGAAAAATAAGAAATAGTAAAATGAACCTTTTAGATCTTCATTTAACAAACCACACATCTCCCCAAAAGGTAGTGGGGTCATCTGAGGCTTCATGAAACCAGCTTCTGAATATTTTGATCCACTAAAGTACTTCTGCCATGTGTTTCAAAGATACAAAGCATTTAAACTAAGTAGCTGCAGCTCTTACTAATCCTAAGGCAATAAATTAATTCCTTACTAGAAAGATCAAGTCAGGATCTTCTTTTTTCTCTCCAGACATGTTAAGCTTAGTAGACCTGGCCATTTCTATCACAGTCTGGTCAACTTATGTCCTTAACTGTCAAATTCAGACCTGGGGAAAACATTTTAATTTTGGGGTTTTTTTTTTGTTTGTTTTGTTTGTTTTTTTTTTAATTAGTCATGGAATTTTAATTACAATTTTTTGGTCACATGTCAAAATATAACAGAAGATAAAAATACTTAGATAAATAAACAACAAAGTCTAAAATAATGTTTTTAATGAAAGAGATGTCCTTTAAGAAGAGATGAGAAATAAAAGGAAAAAAGCTGAAGAGCAAATTAACTTGATCCACTGGCAGTTTTTGCGGATTAAAGTTTCACTACTTCAATCTTCACTCACTCTTGTGTAGTCCTCAAATAATTATGAATTAAATGATATAATTTTCTACCTCTTGCTCTTGACAGAAGACAAAATCACTCCGTTAGAGAAAGAAAACCAAAGTGCCTTGGATAAAAAATATCAATGTTAGAATTTAATTTCCTAGAAATCATGATATTTTATTAAAAATAAACTGCAACTTGATTCCAAAGTTTATGTAATCTCAAACAAAAAGTGATGCAGTCAACTGACTGATAAAAATCCGACTGAGACTAGAAAAACTTGATACATTTTTGTAACTCTGCCTTATCTAATCATTGATTTACTTAAAAAATGCACTCCCCTTATGGAAAGATTAAAATACAGCCATATCTCAGCATGGCACTGTATGCTTTTCCAGGATAAAAACACAGCTCACAGCTGCAGCCTTTAGAAAGAAGCTTTTGTTTTTTCATTAGTTTGATACTCTTGAATTCGCTTTCTTTGAAGACCCGTCTACACCTTCAAGGGCAGTCAAGGGTATGTAGCAACTAAATGGGTGCTACACAAACTGGGAACGTACAACAGAAACTGATTGCACTGATTAGGTTCACCCTGTCTGTGGACAGAGAGAGTACCCAGGGGCCAATGCTACCTAAGCAGAAACGGGTTTGAGCACTGTTTCTTTTTATTTCATAAATAAAACTAAGTGATTCCTATGGTGGAAATTCTGTGGAAGGAGGGATGGTATTAAAGGCAGCAGGTGGAGGGAAGAGAGAAGAAATAACCAGATAGGCATGTGGGGTCTTCTTTTTCTGTGATGAAATTATATTCCTTTGACCTTCAATTCATGTGGTGTCCATTTTTTCTGCATAAGGCTTGGTTCAATGTGGGATCATAGAATCATAGAACGGTTTGGGATGGAAGGGACCTCAAAAGTTCACCTAGTTCCAACCCCCCTGCCATGGGCAGGGACACCTCCCACTAAACCATGCCACCCAAGGCTCTGTCCAACCTGGCCTTGAACACCGCCAGGGATGGAGCATTCACAACTTCCCTGGGCAACCCATTCCAGTGCCTCACCACCCTAACAGGAAAGAATTTTCTCCTTATATCCAATCTAAACTTCCCTGTTTAAGTTTGAACCCATTACCCCTTGTCCTATCACTACAGTCCCTAATGAAGAGTCACTCCCCAGCATCCCTGTAGGCCCCCTTCAGATACTGGAAGGCTGCTATGAGGTCTCCACGCATCCTTCTCTTCTCCAGGCTGAACAGCCCCAACTTTCTCAGCCGATCTTCATATGGGAGGTGCTCCAGTCCCCTGATCATCCTCATGGCCCTCCTCTGGACTTGTCCCAACAGCTCCATGTCCTTTTTATGTTGAGGACACCAGAACTGCACACAATACTCCAAGTGAGGTCTCACAAGAGCAGAGTATAGGGGCAGGATCACCTCCTTGGACCTGCTGGTCACTCTCCTTTTGATGCAGCCCAGGATACAGTTGGCTTTCTGGGCTGTGAGCGCACACAGAAGCCGGCTCATGTTCATTTTCTTATCGACCAACACCCCCAAGTCCTTCTCCTCAGGGCTACTCTGAATCTCTTCTCTGCCCAACCTGTAGCTGTGCCTGGGATTGCTCCCACCCAGGTGTAGGACCTTGCACTCGTCATGGTTAAACTTCATGAGGTTGGCATCAGCCCACCTCACAAGCGTGTCAAGGTCCCTCTGGATGGCATTCCTTCCCTCCAGCATATCAACCGAACCACATAGCATAGTGTCATCAACAAACTTGTTGAGGGTGCAGTCAATTCCACTGTCCATGTCACCAACAAACATGTGGAACAAGACCAGTCCCAACACTGATCCCTGAGGGGCACTACGGCACTACTCATTTCTGGTCTCCAGCTGGACATTGAGCCATTGACCACAACTCCACATGTGGCCATCCAGCCAGTTCTTTATCCACTGAGTGGTCCACCTATCAAATTGATGTCTCTCCCATTTAGAGACAAGGTTGTCATGTGGGACAGCAACCTGTAGAGTTTTGTTGGAAAGCAATGTGAAATCGAAGACTCACAGCCTATCTACATAAGCTTTTCAGCTTACAACAACCTAACCAAGACAACACACCATTAGTTTATATTTACTTTAAAATGCTCCAAACCTTAAATAATGTATTAGGGCTTTTGTACTAATGAATCACATCCCTTAGATACCTGAACCTAGCATCATTTTTTGTCCTGTTGCATCAGAATACTTAGTTATCTGCGTACATTAAAACCTACTTTTTTACAGAGATGAATCTGGTCTGTTTTGGAATATGGTACCACTGGATGAAACAAAGGGAAATAAGAGCTAAGGAAAACCTAACAATGTAAACCAGCATCCACACAGGTGTGGGAGGAAAAAAAAAAACCCGACAAAAACAGCAGAAGGAGAATTTACTGGAACTAAATAAACAGTGAACTTTTACCATATTTGGTACCTTATGCAACAGTTGCAAGCAAATAAATATATATGGCATAATTGGCACATAAAAATTATTATATTACACTAATTTTATTTTAGGCAATTAGTGGAAATATTGTACTCTACTCCTGGATTTGGACTTCAGAGGACCATTTTTATTTACCTTCATTTAAAATCTCTACCTAATCCTATGCAACAAAAAAGTTCTTTTTGCATTCAAAGGAACTAAAATATATAGAATTTATTTTGTTCTCTGGGTATGGATATAGATAAAGCTATTTTACACACTTACACTCTCTGTATATACATATACACAGAGAGCAAGTACTATTATCAGAGTATAAATAGTCTAAGAGCAGTTCTGAACCATCCACTGTGCATACAGACACAGTATGCTTGTGTATAGCTTGAAAAATATCTGTAGCAACTTCCATCTTAAGGACAAGCCTCCCTGGTAACATCAGCAACAATATTTATAATGCCATAAGTGGTGTGCATTGCACAATATTAAATTGCCAGGTTCCTATCTTACAATGAAATGAAAGCATAGTTTAAATTTCAGTTGCTTTTCTATCTATCAGCAGATTTCACTCCATCTTATTATTTTGCCTTTGCTATCACAGTTCAAATTTTTCTTCGTTCATTCTTTTCCCTTTTTGTCTGCTGAATTGCTTCTGAGTTTTCATCCATATTTATTCTTGTTCTTTTAAATTTTTGCTTCCTTGACAAAATTGCTAGTAATCTAATTTTCTTTTTTTCTTTCATTTTTTTTCTGTCCTCCACCTTGCTCTCATCTGTACTACAAAGCATTAACACTTCTTATATTCTGCCAAAGACAAACACACCAAGCAAATTACCTTAGTGAATTACATTGTAAAATCCTTTTTGCAGCTCTTCCAAGAAGCGGAAGATGTCACAGGATTTCTTTGTTCTTTAAACTCCTGCTTTAGCTCATTTCTGCACCTGAAATTCCCACTTACAATTTGCAAGCTTAATTCTTGCAAGTATTTTAAGTCATACATTCAGTAGACATTTCATAGCTCTACACAATTAAATGATTTTATAACAGCCTGTATTGATCTTCACCACACTTCTTGTACTCACTAAAGTACATACCTGTACAAATCTCTTCTGTCTCATCATCTATGCATTCTCTGTCATCGCATTCACAAAATTTACCATAGACCAGTTCATTTCCTTCTGAGTTTGCACATTTACACCTGCCACAGTGACATGTACCTGGAAATGTTTAAGACAGTACTCAATGACAGCAGTTTATGAAAAGATTCATTAGTCTATCAGAGATGGTATGCATTTCATTTTCAAGAAGGCTGACATCTGAAGATCATCCAGATAAATAAAGACACAGAAACAATCCATATCAACAGAAAGCCCAATCTGAGCTGCAAATATACTTCTGTATATTTTTCAGTTTGAAACATAATGCATAATAATGTATAACAGTCATAAATAAACATATTAAGGACTTACACGGTCAGAAAAAATAGAGAATATAGAGAATCTCAGTTTAGGTAGGATGCCCTAGTTGCTCTGACAAATGATTAGGAGCAGTTGAGTAAAAAAGGATACATTTTAGGTGGATATTGATTGGTTCGTGAAAAGAATTACAATAAATGTTTAGCTGTGTGACAGTAGAAGACTGTTTTTGCAACAACTCATGTAATCCCTCCCCATCTTTACTGGCAATTAAACAGAGTTCAGACCCCAAAGGCAATGTCAGTGGTACATTGAAAGGCAATCCCTTCAACACAAAATATCTATGGCTACAGCTCATCAAAGTTACCTCAAACTCCCTAGTCAGTCTCATTGGAATTCATGTCCTGTTTAATACCAGCAAAACCAAAAGCATTTACTCATCTCCTGACCTCACAAGCACTCCTCTCTTAGCCACTCTTAGCAGTTGTTAGAATTGGGGCACTTCTAGCGAAGGAAAAAAAGAGGAAAAACAGGTCTTAACATTCTTGTTTAAGTACTTTAAACTTATTTATGTAAGTACTTTGACCACAATCAACCATGCTTATTTTTGAGAATCCGTTTAGGTGATGTTTAGGTATTTAGAGAACAGAGAGATACCACAACAGAAAAGTGAAGGTGTAAATACTCCATTAAAATGATTCAGCAGATCTTACACAACAGTTTTTAATAATTGTTTTACAGCTTAAAAATGTCCTGGCAAAGTATATGCAAATGCCATTTCTGCCATTTCTGTGTTAATGCCCTTATTATAACCTTTTGATGGGCAAAATGCATGAAGAGCTGTAGTTTCATCAATATAAAACAGCTATGGATAAACCAGGGTACTAAAGTAGGCATTCTGAATCAGTGCACATCATACGCACAGGAATAGGCTTATATGAAAACTAAGCATTTTAGTGTACATGCAGTTATTTCTTAGTCTTTGGAAACACAGTCTAGAAAATTCCTAATTAGAAAAGAAATTAGTGATTCTCAAAATAACACAGGGAGAACATTAAGCCATCAAAAGCAACAGAAGACCTCTTACCTGCACCAGAACAGATGATATCTTGAGAATTCTTGCACATTTCATTACTTTTCCTCCGTGTAAGATTGCAAGTAGTTGGATACTGACAAGCTTCACCATACCAGCCTTCATCACATTTGCACTTCCCACAATCGCACTTCCCATGCCCTAGCAATGGAAAGAGTGTGTCAAGTCCTTATATTTTCTAATTCATCTTTTAAAATTTAATTCATCAATTATAGTTTTAAATGAACATGATTAACATAGTTCATATGCAATTAAAAATAGAAATGAATAAATATGATCTTAAATATGAGGAGACACCTGGAATCACCATGAGTTTGAAATCTAATGTATGTAATTTTGATAGATACATACGAATATTTATTTTATGAAAGAATACAGAACTAAATAATCCTGTATGGACAATGGACTTTCGTACTACTTTCATCTCTTTCTCATTTCCATATTTGTCTACTGTTTACTATTATTAACACAACAAAACTCCACACACAGAGATTCTGTTCAGCTCCTTGACCAACTGTAGGAAAAGAACAGCTAGAATCTGCAGCCTAAGGACTCTGGATTAGTGATTATAGTACAAACCCTGAAAAGGAGTGAGGAGTGGGACAGCTATAGCAGCAAGCAGTAATTTCCTCATGCAGCAGCAGCTGTAGCACCTTCCTCTACTGAGAGGTGTAAATCCTTTTTCCCAGAGCCTCCCCTGGCTACAGGTTCTTCCAGCCTTCTCCCACCCACTTAAAGTCTACTTGGCTGCTGCTGCAAAACTGAATTTTGCCTTTAAACATTGACACAATATTGGCAATGTAGTGTATATTGATACTCGTGGGATTATATTTGCTTATGATTATTTGCTAAGTGTGAAATATCTTAAAGAACAATGCAGCTGCTCAATCTATTAGGTGATGTCATGCTAGCCTTCTGTCATTTCAATAACTCATTGCTTAAAAATTGTAATATACCTAATAGCATCAATACTGATAAAAGTAAGGAAAGTTTGTTTATAAAACTTCTTTAGCTTTCCTGAAAAATACCCAAGTATGCAAATGAATTGACAATTTACACTATTTATGTTGCACATTAAGTATCATGTTCCACACTAAATTCCAGGTGAAAATTTCTATCACATAATTCTTTAGCATTCCTTTACAATTTCAGTTAGCAATGTGAAAACAAATGCAAATATTTTAAAATAGAATATTTAATTAAAAAAAACCACTTGAATGTATATCTGATTGACAGAAGATTCCCTTCCAATCACTAGATCTCAGAAATAGAATCTTATTGCAGTTTATTTTAAATGCATCTGTTGCCTGCACATAGAGTCAACTGCCTGAAAATACAAGCCTAATCTGATGCCAATAAGAAGAAATTAAAATAGCTATTGCAAATAGAAAATTCTAATGAGAAGAGGGAGTATCTTATGTTGCTCAGTAAAATTTTCTTTGCCTTCCAAGATGGTCATAAGACAAGATAAAATTCTTTAGCTGAAAAAAAGTAGTTCAAAACCATATGACAGAATCATGTTAGTTTGTGTTTTAAAACAGGAGTTTCCACCTTAAAAATTGCTGAATAACTCTCTGTTAGTAATGGACAATTATAAAACCCCCCAAACTAACGAAAAATGTTGGATATAACATATATAATAAAAACTAATCTTGCCATTACTCTGCTTCACTGAAGACAACAGCATAAGACATTCCAGAAAATGGTAGCTAAAATACCTAAAGACAAAGCATAACAATCTCCCTGTTTTCCTTTCTTTCAAGGAAGGAATTTACTATTATTAACACAATGACTTTGCATTCTTTATGTTAGGCACTTTTGTGATTTAACAGTTTGATGTCTGCTAGTGAAGAAAAGATGCTCTTATAAAAGGAAGACTGATATTCCCATTGTAAATGACAGAGTAAGGCAGAAGAACTCCTGTTTAGTACTGGTGGTTCAACAGCAACAACCTCTCTCTGTTAGAGATCCACTAATCTAACATATGGTGCACAGAGGAAAAAAATAATTTCAGTTAAGATTCATACAGCCTGCTCAAAGAAAATGAAAAAAAGACTTCCACGAGACTAGCCATACAGAGCAGCTTTTTGGCTTTATTTAACACGAAAACACAAAAAAATTAAATTAAATTAAACTGAGAGAAATAATGGAAGTTCTCCTCCATGAAACTGAAAGCAACTGTAAGGAATTTAATCATTATAAACTTTTAAGATTGTATGAATAATTTTGACCTTGATCATGCTCTTAAGATGTCATAATTTTTCCAATTGGTTAAATTATTTTTTAATATTAAAGCAATGAGAATATTCTGCCCCAAAATTTGTGTGAGAAGACTATATTGGAGTGTAGAAGGCCATAAAACTGCCTGCATTAGCTTGTATAACTCACTGTATCTTCCCTGTCATGTAGATAATGCAGTAGAACTGCATGTCAGTTTGACATAGTAATTTCTTCTTGCTTATCTCCCACACTGACATGTACCAATGTTATGGTCTTCTTCATGGCAAAAATAGTGATGTGATGAACTGTAGACCAAATAAGCTGTAAGCAAACTAGAGAGGGTACAAAGGGTTTTCAATTCCTTTCAGATAGCTTTGTGTAGGATCCCTTTTATTGTATATTCATTTCTGCATGATTTAGAAAGCAAATAATATTACGAAATAGTAAAGAGCGCTGTGAGAACTGTGAGGTGATACTGTAACTTCACAGAAAATCAATTCTACCAATGAGGGTTAGACACAGTTATCTGAGGATGTGACACATAACATGAGAAAAGTGAGCTACAGGACCCTACTAAATAGTTCATCAAGAGAGCTATCTCAGAGTAAGTGATGACACATTCATTAATTTTTTTAAATGCCTGTAAAATGAATAAATGCTACACATAAATAAATCAGATTTTTACTTCAAAAAATCAGAAAATAAAATCAGAAAACAATTGAGTCTTAAAGTTGCTGGACTCAAGGAAGTATTAGAATTCCTTAAAGAAAAAGTCTGTGGCTGTGGGCTGTGAAAAACTTGCAGCTTCAAACACCTGGAGAACCTTTTATAACAAAGCACTCCATTTCTAACTAGATGAGCAGTCACCTCAGAGAGTATATCTGGTGTATGCAGAAAGCTTGTAGGGTGGAAAATTAAACCAATATGAAAGGAAAACTATCAGATGTCAGAAAATAGATGGAGAAAGCAAGAACAGAAAATGTTAGGCAGGGTCAGATCTTGCAAAAATGCAAGTACTAAAATGTACTTTCATCATCCAAATAAAAAGAAAATAAGAAAAAGAGTGTCTTCACCAAGCAGCAAAATGCAGTTAAGATTAAAGGTAATTTACAGACAGTCCAAAACAAAATTAATATGGGGATGTTGACTACAGCAGCAAATGCAGTGTGGCTAATGATACACTCTGTGGAAATGAAAATTACTCATCTAAGATGAGAACAAAACAAAGACATAAAACTGTTTTTAAGGAATTGTCTAGACCAGAAGGGCAAGACCCCATAATCTGCATTCAAGAGTACTTACGATATTCACACATGAAAGGTCAGTTGAATAACAAAGTATTTTAATGAATACACCAGACTGGCAATCAAATGTCTGAAAAATAACAAAACTAATGATTTTTTCTCTTAAGAAAAAGGGATGTGCATGACCCAGACAATATCAAAATAAGCGACTATAACCTCATGAGCTGTGCAAGGGTTTGAAACAAATTATGAAGCATTGCATAGCTAGAGACACTGAGGTAATGAAAAATGAAAAATATAGCAAGTAACAGATTTATCCCAAAATAGATTATCATTATGCCAAATTAATCTAGCATCTCTCCTTATAAGTAACTGCTAATTTAAGAAAAGGAACACAGGAAATATAGCTGAAAAGATCTTATGTATTTGACACAATGCCACTTAGGGGAAAAAAAAAGAAAACTAAAAAAATCACAACTTTGTTTAAGAGAAGGAAACATTAGGACCAAAAGGAATTTTAATCTGGTAGATTACAGGTGATGTTTCAAAGGATGGGTTTAGGACCAAATGTGTTTTTTACTGATACTGATACAAAAATTCAGGGTATGCTAACATCATTGGTCAATGACACAAACCCATAAGCCCTCAGTAGAAAGGTGAAGATGGAAAATTATACAGAATGAACTGGACTGAGAATCTGAAGGACTGAGCAATAAAAGTGAATTGAATCTTGAAATACAAAACATAGGATCACACACCAAGGACAAGGAAAGGACACCATAGGCTAAGGCCTCCCCAGCTGGAAAGAAAAAGAAGAGCCTGAGTGTATATTCATGTCAGCCCTGGAAAGATGGTGTGACTAAGCCTGAGATGCAGCTGTTCAATACGGCAGGTACAGGAAATGCATTTGAAATGTTAGACACAGTGTAAAACAGGCATGGGTCCAGTTTATGCTGGAAAATTACCACTGGGCCCCTAAACCTTAGAAGAATGAGTCAAGTTTTCAAGGGAAAACACCTGTAGAATTTTAGCCACTTACAACATTGCAATAGGTTAGGAATTAAAACACGTGAGCTGAAAGATGTAATTTAAACCTCAATCATTTGTATCTGATCACATGCATTTTGTAGAATTACAAAATGATTTGGGTTGGAAAGGACCTTTAGATCATCTAGATACAACACCCCTGCCATGGGCAGGTTCATCACACACTAAACCATGTCACCCAAGACTGTCCAGCCTGGCCCTGAACACTGCCAGGGATGGAGCATTTACTCCTTTGGGCAAGCTATTCCAGTGCCTCGCGACCCTCAGGGTTAAGAACTTCTTCCTATACCTAACTCTAACTTCTCCCATTTAAGTTTAAACCTTGTCCTATCACTACAGTCCCTGATGAAGAGCGCCTTTCCAGCATCCCCATAGGCCCCCTTCAGATACTGGAAGGCTGCTATGAGGTCTCCACACAACTCTTAGGCTCTTCACTTCATTCTAAGTGCTTTCTAAAAATGTTTTCCTACTATATGTTTGCATAACTATAGGTCCAAGAGCAAAGACACAAAAGTAAAATCTCTGACAAGTTCTGAATCCACATCTGAACCGTACGCATTCAAGGCACCAATTTGGAAGCCCAATTTTGTTGGAATCCAGCTGTAATCCATCATGAGAGACAGGCACTTC